TTTTCACAAAATATATGTATGTGCTTAGTCTTTCAGACTATAAGGAATAGACGAAGGTCTGTTACTTATAGAACTATGAATTCTAAATTTGAAGTTGATCTAGAGATATTTTCATTATTTAACTCAGCATGTCTAAGAAATCGGTTTTCAATTTCCATTTCACCTGGTAATATTGATGCTTTCCCATTGATATTGTGCAACTTTAGCTTGAGTATGAGTGTAAAATGAGAATTCTAATATGCCAATACTCCAACATAGAATCTCAGTTCTTAGATCAGCGATTAATTCGCTTGTCTAGGGACTGTAAGCGTGGCCGAGTATCGTGAACACGGGCTGACGCGTTAATTAAACCACATTAAAGGCATGTTGTGTGCCATTTGCAGCGCCGCAGACAACGGGATGCTGGACTCAAAGACTTTGTGTTGATGAAAATGCGAAAATAACCGTACAAACAAGCCAGTCAAACGAGCCGGGGCCGGCCATCAAGGACGGGCGACGTCAGTTTACRCGCGGTCAGGCAGCAGGCCAGATGTAAGAGCTACGCCCATAAAAGAGAGCTTGAAAATCAATACAAAAAAAAAAAAAAAAGCCATGAAGAATGGCAACATGAACAACAAAATGCGTGAAAAGTCCCGGAACCCGCAAAAGTGACACGGACACACAGAACACTGTATCGCTCCGCACGCGCCGTTGATGTGGCCAATCCATGATGGGCGTTGACAGCTGCCCGGCTGGGCTGGCTGGCAATATGATGCTATCCAGTCCAGGACGCGAGTTCAGCAGGTCCTTGTCCGCGCGTCCTGGGCGAGTGGCTGGCCGTGTGGCTGTATTTGTAATTTCCGCATTTCATAAATAAAGCACGCCAGCGTTTACAAATATTGTCCGCTTGTTGATATTGATGCCGGGCCACGGACTGATGATGCCGAGGCTGACTTGATCGAAAGTCAGGCAAACGGCGGCGCTTCTGTTTACTCGTTCACACAGATAGTTGGCGCTGATGGCTTAAAATGAATAATGATGGTGACACGAGAAAAGCGGCGAACGCAATATGAATATAAAGCCAAGAGTCTAGGGTCGAGGGTCGTGGGTCGAGGAAAAGCGCCGTACAACGGTGCGTATGCGCGCTGTGGCAGTGGCAGCCATATTTGAGGCTCCCTTTGGAGCGTTTTTCAATTAAGGCGCCCAAAAACAGAATAACAGCACAACAGCCAATGAATGACACCTTAAGTGTGCGCTGGCCACGCCCATCAGCACGCCCCACAGCCCCCGTTGGGTATTGTGGCTTGGCATTGCCTTTTGTTGACCAAGCTCTGACGATTATTCTTTGTCAGAGTTTCGAGATGCCTTCTATTTACGTTCATTGTTGGCGTTTTGGCATATTTCCGTTAGCCAAGTTTAGCCACTTCCAGCTTCACTTCCACTTCCGATACGCTTGCTGTTGTTGTTGTTGTTGTTGTTGGTTGGCCAGCAGCATTTGCTTTGCCGTTTCCTTGGGCCCCGCTTGTGCTGTTTGCCTTGGCTTCACTTGTTGTTTGCTCTGCTGCGCCAGAGATTTGCTGGCTTATAAATTCCAGTGAAATATTTTGGACAGCACTTGAAAAGTTTTAGTTTCTTGTTTGGATTAGCCGCGGCCACTCGCTCGCTCTGGGTCATTTATGTGCATAGTTGCGGGCTTTGAGCTTCTATCGGCAGTAGCCGCACCAGAGCCGCCTCCTGGCGTCAAAACTTTTTACTTTCAACTTGGTCTTTGTGGCATCTACAGGTGTCTCAACTGCAGCGCCATGTCTTAAGGCTGTCGACGGAGTTTGAGTTGCGCGAAGATTGATGAACCCACTTGATGTAGAGAGTGCCCACATGTGGCTGCTCAGTGTGCCGTGTGGAGGATTGTCTTAAATTACATTTGGGACAGACAACACGGGTGGCAGTTGCTCTGTCGCCATGACGAGGGTTGCCCACGCCCCATGCCAGCTTAAGTGATGGATTTGCAAAAGTATTGCAATGCTCAATCAATGTATTAAGCACTGACAGTTGTGCAAAACCGCAATATTTATTCGCTTGTCAAGTGGCTGATGACAACAGCAGCATTTTATGAATATGCAGAGATGTGCGAGTTATGGGCCATAAGGTGTAATACTTGGGGCTTCTTTAAACCAGTGCTGCGTAATTAAATTTGGTAGAATGTTCCTAAGCAGAACAGAACCTGAAACCCGAAAGCATTTAAAATTCGCTTGAATTCCCATTGCTTTGCCCCACTAATTGTCTCTGCTAAAGTCAACGCCAGCAGCTGTCGAAATAAGGCAAAGAAATCTGACGAGACATTGTCAAATGGAGAGTGACATGAAGTGGGTATACATTTCGGTGCTTGTGTATATTGCAGAAGGAGCAGCAGCGGAGGGAAGGCAGACAACGAAATGAGCAAACCAAAAGCATTTTAATACATCTTATTTCCCAAGCATATTTCCGAGGCGAGTTATTTCCTTTATTATTTGCATGGGCGAAAAGGGAAAGTGGGCGTTAAGCTGGCAGGAGTCGGCTAAGGACATATGTACGGCTGCCCGGGTGCGATCCCAGTTGCAGGCCATGCGTTAATTACAAGCGAAGAACAGGCGAAAATAATAATCAAGAAAACGAGCCAAGGAATTTCTCCAAAGATAAACAGACAAAGCACAAAGCGCTCCTCCTAGCGAGCTATTGTTATTGCAGGGCGAGGAGCGGATGCAGAATTTTCAGATGCCCGAGCGGCACAAAAAAATATGCTCGAGAAATGGACGACTGGAAAAAAAAAGAAAAGATGGAGGAGAAGAAGAAGAAGCAGAAAATATAATGTCATGGCATTTCACAATTACAGCGAGAGCTGAAATTTAGCATAGACGACAGCCACTTGGGTCGTCGCCATGCCTGGGGGCGCGGCTTGGGAGGGTTTATTAGACGCCCCGCCCCCAGGCAGACGAACAAACGGTCGGACGGATGGACAGATGGACGGGGGGACGGACGGAAGCAGACAAATTGTCGCTGCCATTTTGTGGCTGTTGCTGGGCATCGTTGGTAATCAACACAGCTGCTTGGCCAGTGTTGTAAAGTGCCAAATTAAATTTAATATTATTATCAAGCTTATGTATTCTCCGTTTTGTGCCCCCCAACCGCTAACCTTCGCACTTTGACCCTCTTTTGCTTACAGAAATCGCCTGGAATCAAATTCGGAGCACTGGAATGCCTTGCTGCTGTCGCTGCGAGAGCTAACCGAGTGGGTCATTCGCAAGGATACGGAGCTGAGCAGCTTAGGCCTGGGCCCGGTGCGCGGCGATGCGGCCAGCCTGCAAAAACAGCTTGTAAGTTGATCCTCCAGATAACCTGATAAATATTGCGAAACTATGTCCTAAGATCTACGTAAAATGAAAGCCGTAAGCCGGCGAGCTTAAAGTGTTTTAACTATAAATATGTTCTTTTGGCTTATGTGTTACTCTGCAGGACGGAAAGACAAAAATTCAGTACATCAATCCGTTTTTCAATCAGTTAGTCAGTGCATCAGTTTGATAGTCGATTGATCAATCTGTCAATTAGTCAGTCTGTCCTTCGGTACAAAGATGGACAATTAATTGCAACAAAAAACATTAAAATTTCATTAATCAGTTCAAGCTTCAATCAATCTGTCGCTTAATCATGGAGATGTTAGCTCAGTCAACTCTTTACTTAATTGACAGATTGATTGAAGCATGAACTGATTAATAAATACAAATACATTATTCAGATAATGAGTATATCAAAACATCAATGCAGAAATATATCAAATGCCTGTCAATCAATCTGAATTATCCTTCAGTCAGTCAATCAGTTAATCGATGAGTCAGTCAAAAGGTCTGTAAACTAATCAGTCATTCAGCTTTTTTATTGAAATAGTAGTAAAGCAAATATTATATATCGCAATCTGAAATCGAGGAATGAGATTAATATAGTATTTATATTTATTTTGAAACAACGTACAAAAAACGCTACATGTATATATATAACATACATATATCTTACATATAATAGATATATGCTCACATATTCAAATCAAGTTTATTACATTTCAATATACAAACCTAAAAAGCTCTAAATTTGAAAACAAAATAAATAAATAAATAAAAACATAAATATTTTATATAGTTACTTTAACCCTCTAACCGACTAAGCACAGAGCTTATTTACGGATTATTCAATACCTAAAATCATTAATATTAGCACAGTAGAGTCTGGCTATATCGACTCCGCTTATATCGTCCGTACGGTCCCCAGGCAAACTAACATGAGTAAACTTATATGGCTATAGCGTCTACCGAATATAACGACGGTACCTTGAGCGTCGTTATAATCGGATTTCCCTATATTTCTAATTTATACTGTAAGCCATTATGCCCATTAAATCTGTTGCCTTCAAAGTCTTGACTCCACATCAACTTAACTTGGCCTTAATGTATTTGGGTCTGCGTTGAAAAGTATTACATGGCCTGATTGCGAATTATAGAGTAATTAACTAATTAGTTGTAATATTAAAGTAAATGCGTTGCTAGGTGTTGCACTCAGCGCGAATCCAGTTGGGTAGGACTGAAGGCTCTCGGTGAATATCTAGAGTACTTGCAATGGGCATGCCCTCAATAAGAGCGAGCACAAAGTTCACTCTGCAGTTGCTGCTCATCATGAGCTTGTTTGTTGGCTTTTGCTGTCCTTTTACCCCCTCTACTTAAGTGTCTGTGTGTGTGTGTGTGTGTGTGTGCGTGTGTGCTGCCAACGACCCAATTTGAGCCTTTTTGCAGAGCCCTGGCTGCACCTCAATTTGCTCGGCCCAACTAATTGTGTGGAAGGCTTTGGCAGAGTCAAGTGCGGGATGCTGGCATTTTTAGTGCCATTCTCAGCCGCAATTTGTAATTTTTCGACTGTATATGTCTCCCTCTCCCTGACCCTCTCTCTCCCTCTCTGTCTGTGTGTGTGTGTGTGTGTGTGTGAAGGGTCTCTGTGATTTAATGGCGCATAAAGTGGTTGGCCAGCCCATTTTGTGTGCTGGGCATATTGCGAGCAAATATTTAGGCATAATTATATGTATGTCAGGCAAATCGGATTCACGCTTTGTTCAAATGCAGTTGAAATAATTGCAAAGCCACACTTGACACGGCTTTCATAGTTACACATTCTGTTTGAACTATTCGGCCCAGTTGACATAAGCATCGCAGGAGTATTAACAGAGTAAATTGAGCCGAGCGCATTTAATTTCATTGTCAACATATTTGTGCATTGAATTCGCAGCAGCAATGCTATTGTTCAATTGATTACGAATTTTATAATTGGGATTTGCTGCATACAAACAATGTGCCAGATATGCTTTGCATTACATTGGGGCTTTGGCCTGCTGTGCGTATGCGCAATATCCGAAATTCCACGTTATCAATATGATATGTGGTTTGTTTATAAAATAGAAACTTTTGAAATATGCAATCGTTTCATGCACAACTTATCGAAATTAAAATTTACTCAATTTAATAAACTGATTTGGAATGAGATTGGATCAGACTTGCTCCATTCGGCTGAGCCTGTGTCAATGATTTTTATTGCCAGCTTGTTTTATTAGCGGCTCTGCCATTGATTCTGCTCAGAGTCAAGTGCCACAGAGTATCTTAACTGCCCAACTTGACCGAATTGCGTAGTTGAATTGAAAGTCCCACTTGGGGCTAAACTGCTGCTCTGGCTGCGAATTCTTAAATAATTGTTAAATGATGCTTGTTATGTCAGAAACATTCGCACTCACACACACGATTACGTACACATATGTACACATATGTATGCCGGAAATCACTTAAGAGGGGGGAGCAAAAAGCAGCAGCAGCAGTAGCAGCAGTAGCAGGAGCTGAAATGGCAGTAGAGGCAGGACTTGGCCAGGCCAGTTGAAAATGGGGAAACACTGTCTAACACAGCGTGCGCCACTTGAATTTCACTTACTCCCAGCACATACACACACACACACACAAACACCCGCTGGGATCTGGAAGGATGAAAAAAATGAGGCAACTTTCACCCTTGGCAGCAGGAGCAGGCTGTGGAAATCTATTGCCTGCCACTAAGTTACGGTCTGCCGGACATTTACATTTCGGCTGCTGGCGCGGCATGGAGTGAGCCTGTAGTTGGAGCTGGAGTGGGGCCCAGTCTTGAGTTGCGGCTCCAACACACTCGAAAAGGAATTTGGCTTGTATTTCGTATTGCCTTTCATTTGATTCGCCAGCACTCGGCGTGCCCTTTGGCCGCATTGTTGCATTTTTTATTCCAACACTAAATGCATTAAACACGAAATTTATTGTGAGCTTCTTCACGCCGAGCTGAGCTGCTATGAAGTGCGCTCACTATATATATATACATATTTCTTTCTGTGTATTTCTCTCTTTCATTTGGCTCTTTCATTTGTAAAGCAATAGCAGCAATGGCCAAATAGTTTATGGCTGGCCAAGTGGCATTACTCGTTATGATTATTTGTGGCCAAAATAAATAAATCTTTGACAGAAATAATAGTAGGATAGTATATATTTGCAAGTGAAAACGAAAAAAGAAAAAATAACAACAACTATCTCTACAACAAAATCTCATTTTGATTTTTTCTCTTTTGTGCTTGCAGGATGATCATAAAGCTTTTCGCCGTCAGCTGGAGGATAAACGCCCAATTGTTGAGAGCAATTTAACGAGCGGTCGTCAGTATATAGCCAGCGAGACGCCCGTTTCGGATACCAGCGATACCGAGGGTAAGTTTTACGGCTAACCATTAAATTATTATGTATGGGGGGCAGGCAGATAGACGTCCATAAAACTTTGACCACAAAACTGACCATGAATTCTCAACTATTTAAAGCGAACTCAGTGCTCTGTGCTCTCGATGCTTCAAGTATCATCATCGGCAATCAGCTTAGCTCAACTCAACTTCCATTCACACAGCCGAGAACTCATCGGGATTCAACAATTGCCTCCTCATTGCATTCGCAATTTGTATGGCAAATCTCAAAATCAAACATCGACACAACATGTACAACTAAGAACTCCATTGAGCTCTGCCCGCAGAGGCTTAGCGGGGCTGACCAGCACACAAACAGGGAAAGAGAGAGAGAGAGAGAGAGAGCTTTGTGCACGTGAGACGCCTAACTCTGTGCTGTGGCTGGTTCGGAATCACCAATTGATTTTGTTTCATTGCGATTTTTTTGTTTTTTTTTTTTGTTTTTTATTTTCCTCTTTTTTTTTGTTTTTTTTTTTTTTTTTTTTTTTTTTTTTTTTTTT